GTCTCTGCCCCTCCCACAATGGGGAGATTTCCTTTCAGTACTTTGCAACTCTGCCCCTCCCACAATGGGGAGACTTTCCGCAGTAGTTTGTGTCTGTGCCCCTCCCACAATGAGGAGATTTCTTTCCAGTACTTTGCATCTCTGCCCCTCCCACAATGGGGAGATTTCCCTGAAGTAGTTTGTTTCTCTGCCTCTCCCACAATGGGGAGATTTCCCTCCAGTAGTTTGTGTCTGTGCCCCTCCCACAATGTGGAGATTTCCTGCAGCAGTTTGTGTCTCTGCCCCTCCCACAATGGAGAGATTTCCTGCAGTAGTTTGTGTCTCTGCCCCTCCCCCAATGGGGAGATTTCCCTCCAGTAGTTCGTGTCTCTGCCCCTCCCACAATGGGGAGATTTCCCTCCAGTAGTTTGTGTCTCGGCCCCTCCCACAATGGGGAGATTTCCCTCCAGTAGTTTGTGTTTTGGCCCCCTCACAAAGACCTGATGAAGGTGTCAGTCTTTCATACACAGATTTAAGGAGAATCCATTTGGAAAGATGACACCTTTATCTGCCTTTCTGTTATTAAAGAGGTTGTAAACCCTTCCATTTACCCAGTGAGGTGACTGGTCTAAGGTAATACACAGAGATGACACAATCCTCCTACATACGTTGTACCTGTTTATCTACAGTTGTCTGTCCCCCCCCCCCCCCCACCATCTGTCATTGTGCAGCACATGATATCTCAGCTCTCAAAAGCAGGGGGTGGGGAGCTGAAGTCACATCAAAGAACTCTAACAGATGATTGGAGGAAAGGGAACCCCCCCTTCCCTTTCACATAGAGTTGAGGCTGCCAATTACAGGCTGTGCCCTCCCCTGTCACCATTTTTCTCTTGGTGTCAGGAAAACTTGTCAAAGTGACTTAAGCTGATAGCAGAGGAAAGAGGCAGCAGACAGAAATGACACTCAGTGTTCTGGACTGAGACAAGAACACACTATAGAGGGATGTGCTTTGTTCATATTTCATGTCTGAGGTTTACAACCACATTAATGTAATAGCACAGAACAGAACATTCCGGTATGAAGCTCCCATCACTGGAATCCCCCCAAAATATAAGAAAGCAGGATGTCCTTCAGTTTTCCACAACAATGCAAAACGGAAAACCTGATTCCAGGAGGAGTTGTCCTTTAAGCTGAAGCCTGGGCAATGTAGAAAGCCTGTAAATACATCATAGGTGATGTCCATCCTCTGGGGTTTAGGGGGGTAATTATAGTGACTGATGTAACTGCTGCCCCCAATCTGCCCCCGCTCTGCTCCTGTCATCGGATCCAGCTGGAATTCCTGGCAGGGAACACGAAGTGAGGAGGTCCAGGACACCATTCCCGGCATGTGTGACATCCACACCGATCGGGTGACCTCGCGAAATGACAGTAATGTGGTGCAAATCCTTCACCATGAGAGGAAAACCAGCAACTGTCCAACTGACAACACAAATCACCCACACAGGACTGCCCCCCCCCCCCGCAGCGCAGGGGAGGAGACTCTTAGAAATGAAGACTTCTGTTCAAATCCCCCCTTATGTATTATACATGGAGATCATACGCCCCCTTATGTATTATACATTGTGATCATATCCCCCTTATGTATTATACATGGAGATCATATCCCCCCTTATGTATTATACATTGTGATCATATCCCCCCCTTATGTATTATACATGGAGATCATATCCCCCCTTATGTATTATACGTGGAGATCATATCCCCCCTTATGTATTATACATGGAGATCATATCCCCCCTTATGTATTATACATTGTGATCATATCCCCCTTATGTATTATACATGGAGATCATATCCCCCCCTTATGTATTATACATGGAGATCATATCCACCCTTATGTATTATACATGGAGATCATATCCCCCCTTATGTATTATACATGGTGATCTTATCCCCCCATATGTATTATACATGGAGATCAAATCCCCCTTATGTATTATACATGGAGATCATATCCCCCCTTATGTATTATACATGGAGATCATACGCCCCCTTATGTATTATACATGGTGATCATATCCCTCCTTATGTATTATACATGGAGATCATATCCCCCTTATGTATTATAAATGGAAATCATATCCCCCCCTTATGTATTATACATGGTGATCATATCCCCCCTTATGTATTATACATGGAGATCATATCCCCCCTTATGTATTATAAATGGAAATCATATCCCCCCTTATGTATTATACATGGTGATCATATCCCCCCTTATGTATTATACATGGAGATCATATCCCCCCTTATGTATTATACATGGTGATCATATCCCCCTTATGTATTATACATGGTGATCATATCCCCCCTTATGTATTATACATGGAGATCATATCCCCCTTATGTATTATACATGGTGATCATATCCCCCTTATGTATTATACGTGGAGATCATATCCCCCCTTATGTATTATACATGGAGATCATATCCCCCCTTATGTATTATACATGGTGATCATATCCCCCTTATGTATTATACATGGAGATCATCCCCCCCTTATGTATTATACATGGTGATCATATCCCCCTTATATATTATACATGGTGATCATATCCCCCCTTATGTATTATACATGGTGATCATATCCCCCCTTATGTATTATACATAGAGATCATATCCCCCCTTATGTATTATACATGGAGATCATATCCCCCCTTATGTATTATACATGGAGATCATATCCCCCCCTTAATCTCCTCTTCTCAGTAGAGAATACATTCAGTTCCTCTAATCTTTCCTCATAGCTGAACTCCTCCATGCCTCGTATCAGTTTGGTTGCCCTTCTCTGTACTTTCTCCAGTTCCCCAATGTTCTTTTTGTGAATTGGAGCCCAAAACTGAACTGCATATTCCAGATGAAGTCTTACTAATGATTTGTAGCCGGGGGGGGGGGGATGATATATCTCTCTCTGGAGTCTATACCTCTCCTAATACAAGAGTGGATTTTGCTCGCTTTAGATCCCGCAGCTTGGCATTGCTGCCATTATTAAGCTTGTGATCTAACCGAACCCCCAGATCCTTCTCCACCATTGACCCCCCCCCCAGATCCTTCTCCACCATTGACCCCCCCCCCCAGATCCTTCTCCACCATTGACCCCCCCAGAACCTTCTCCACCATTGACCCCCCGATCCTTCTCCACCAATGACCCCCCCCCATATCCTCCACCATTGATCCCCCCTAGTATGTATGATGCATGCATATTCTTAGCCCCCAAGTGCAGAACCTTACATTTATCAACATTAAACCTCATTGGCCACATAGTCCCCCAATTACACAGAGCATTGAGGTCGGCTTGTAAGTTGGAGACATCCTGTAAGGACGTTATTCCACGGCCAGCTTGGTGTCATCTGCAAAGACTGAAACGGTATGTAATTTGTTTTTGTTTTTTTTGGTCCTACCTAAACACACTGACACTAAATATAAAACCTTTTTGTTTTTTCTTACCTAAAACACACTGACACTAACACTGTCACCAACTGCCACTTGCACTGTCACTAACTGACAATTGTTCTGACACTTACATGGACAGTAACTGCCATTAACTGATATTTACACTGTCACTAATGTCACTGACACTAACTGATGCAGACACTAACTGCCACTAACATTGACACCTACACTCACTAAGCATTGATCTAGTTCAGGGGTGTCAAACTGACAGCTCTCCAGCTGTTGCAAAACTACAAACTCTGCCTTTGGGAGTCATGCTTGTAACTGTCAGCCTTGCAATGCCTCATGGGACTTGTAGTTTGGCAACAGCTGGAGGGCCGTGAGCCTGACACCCGTGATCTAGTTCATCTTTATTTTTTTTCTTCAACAGACTTTTTTTTGTACAGAATTCTCCTTAAGGATGAGGAATACAGTAGATACAATGTTGTTCTCTTCCTTGCTAGCAGACAAGTCTGCTGTTCCTCTTCTTCATGGAGGAGAGACAACACGGGCCTGCTTAGATCCCTCATATTTCACCAAAGCCCACCAACGGGGCTCCTAAAAAAATTTTAAAAAATGATAAAAAAATAAACTTGTTAAAAGAAATAAATAAAATGATAAAAAAAGTAATAAAAAATACCAAAAATAAAAAAAACTACGGACACCAGTGTCGGAGCTACCAGGGTCGCAAAGGTCACACTTGTGACTGAGCCCTGGAATTCTGCCAACATTTGGGGGGGGGGGGGGGGTTACAGCCTGGGGTCAGAGGGGCCCTTTATGGTTTTTTGCACTGGGGCCTTGAAGGTTCTAGTTACGCCTCTGCTCCACTCAGGTCTCAGGTGACACTCAGCTTCCTGCTCTATGCTGTGCAGAGTGTGACGTCAAATTCCCTGCCTGCTGAACCTGAGAAATAGCTTTTGATCTGTGTGTTTTAAAAGGCTGTAGAGAAGAGAAGACTACAGATAAACAGGTACAACTTACATAGGCGGACTTGTTTCATCTCTGTGGCCAGTCCTATCACTGGGTATATGTAAGGGTTTGCAACCAGTTCAAATAAAAATTTTCAGTAGTAGTACATTAGATGACATTGTAGTGAGAGCTATTTCTGCATGAAATGTATTTGCAGGAAAATTAAACTACAAAAAAAAAAAACTATCCTTTTTAGGTTGCAGGAAATAGATGCAAAATGAAACAATAGGTAGTTCCTGCCAAACAAGACAACAGTGAATTGTGGACGACAAAGGAGGCGGTAAACGCAAAAAATGGAGGTGGATTGAATCTGGTTTGCTGCAGGTTCTAATGCACATTGTGAGAAGATCACAGTGTGCAGTGACATCAGAGGAAGCCATTTCAGTCCAGGGGAGGAGCCGGTACACTGTGCAAGACTGAAGAGGAGGAGCTGGTACACCTGTGCAAGACTGAAGGGGAGGAGCCGGTACACCTGTGCCAGACTGAAGGGGGGAGGAGCTGGTACACCTGTGCCAGACTGAAGGGGAGGAGCCGGTACACCTGTGCAAGACTGAAGGGGAGGAGCCGGTACACCTGCGCAAGACTGAAGGGGAGGAGCCGGTAAACCTGTGCCAGACTGAAGAGGAGGAGCCGGTACACCTGTGCAAGACTGAAGGGGAGGAGCCGATACACCTGTGCCAGACTGAAGGGGAGGAGCTGATACACCTGTGCAAGACTGACGGGGAGGAGCCTGTACAACTGTGTAAGACTGAAGGGGAGGGAGTAGGTACACCTGTGCAAGACTGAAGGGGAGGAGCCGGTACATCTGTGCAAGACTGAAGGGGAGGAGCCGGTAAACCTGTGCAGACTGAAGAGGAGGAGCCGGTACACCTGTGCAAGACTGAAGGGGAGGAGCCGATACACCTGTGCCAGACTGACGGGGAGGAGCGGTACACCTGTGCAAGAATGAAGGGGAGGAGCCTGTACAACTGTGCAAGATGAAGGGGAGGAGCCGGTACACCTGTGCAAGATTGAAGGGGAGGAGCCTGTACACCTGTGCAAGACTGAAGGGGAGGAGCCGGTTCACCTGTGCAAGACTGAAGGGGAGGAGCTGATACACCTGAGCAAGGCTGAAGGGGAGGAGCCGGTACACATGTGCAAGACTGAAGGGGAGGAGCCGGTACACCTGTGCAAGACTGAAGGGGAGGAGCCGGTACACCTGTGCCAGACTGAAGGGGAGGAGCTGGTACACCTGTGCCAGACTGAAGGGGAGGAGCCGGTACACCTGTGCAAGACTGAAGGGGAGGAGCCGGTACACCTGCGCAAGACTGAAGGGGAGGAGCCGGTAAACCTGTGCCAGACTGAAGAGGAGGAGCCGGTACACCTGTGCAAGACTGAAGGGGAGGAGCCGATACACCTGTGCCAGACTGAAGGGGAGGAGCTGATACACCTGTGCAAGACTGACGGGGAGGAGCCTGTACAACTGTGTAAGACTGAAGGGGAGGAGTAGGTACACCTGTGCAAGACTGAAGGGGAGGAGCCGGTACATCTGTGCAAGACTGAAGGGGAGGAGCCGGTAAACCTGTGCCAGACTGAAGGGAGGAGCCGGTACACCTGTGCAAGACTGAAGGGGAGGAGCCGATACACCTGTGCCAGACTGACGGGGAGGAGCCGGTACACCTGTGCAAGAATGAAGGGGAGGAGCCTGTACAACTGTGTAAGAATGAAGGGGAGGAGCCGGTACACCTGTGCAAGATTGAACAAGAGGAGCCTGTACACCTGTGCAAGACTGAAGGGGAGGAGCCGGTTCACCTGTGCAAGACTGAAGGGGAGGAGCTGATACACCTGAGCAAGGCTGAAGGGGAGGAGCCGGTACACATGTGCAAGACTGAAGGGGAGGAGCCGGTACACATGTGCAAGACTGAAGGGGAGGAGCTGATACACCTGAGCAAGGCTGAAGGGGAGGAGCCGGTACACATGTGCAAGACTGAAGGGGAGGAGCTGATACACCTGTGCAAGACTGAAGGGGAGGAGCTGGTACACATGTGCAAGACTGAAGGGGAGGAGCCGCTTCACCTGTGCAAGACTGAAGGGGAGGAGCCAGTACACCTGTGCAAGACTGAACGAGAGGAGCCTGTATACCTGTGCAAGACTGAAGGGGAGGAGCCGCTTCACCTGTGCAAGACTGAAGGGGAGGAGCCGGTTCACCTGTGCAAGACTGAGGGGGAGGAGCCAGTACGCCTGTGCAATACTGAAGGGGAGGAGCCGGTACACCTGTGCAAGACTGAAGGGGAGGAGCCGGTACGCCTGTGCAATACTGAAGGGGAGGAGCTGATACACCTGTGCAAGACTGACGGGGAGGAGCCTGTACAACTGTGTAAGACTGAAGGGGAGGAGTAGGTACACCTGTGCAAGATTGAACAAGAGGAGCCTGTACACCTGTGCAAGACTGAAGGGGAGGAGCCGGTACATCTGTGCAAGACTGACTGGGGAGGAGCCGGTAAACCTGTGCAAGACTGAAGGGGAGGAGCCGATACACCTGTGCCAGACTGACGGGGAGGAGCCAGTACACCTGTGCAAGAATGAAGGGGAGGAGCCTGTACAACTGTGTAAGAATGAAGGGGAGGAGCCGGTACACCTGTGCAAGATTGAACAAGAGGAGCCTGTACACCCGTGCAAGACTGAAGGGGAGGAGCCGGTTCACCTGTGCAAGACTGAAGGGGAGGAGCTGATACACCTGAGCAAGACTGAAGGGGAGGAGCTGGTACACATGTGCAAGACTGAAGGGGAGGAGTCGCTTCACCTGTGCAAGACTGAAGGGGAGGAGCCAGTACACCTGTGCAAGACTGAACGAGAGGAGCCTGTACACCTGTGCAAGACTGAAGGGGAGGAGCCGCTTCACCTGTGCAAGACTGAAGGGGAGGAGCCGGTTCACCTGTGCAAGACTGAGGGGGAGGAGCCAGTAGGCCTGTGCAATACTGAAGGGGAGGAGCCGGTACACCTGTGCAAGACTGAAGGGAGGAGCCGGTTCACCTGTGCAAGACTGAGGGGGAGGAGCCAGTACGCCTGTGCAATACTGAAGGGGAGGAGCCGGTACACCTGTTCAAGACTGAAGGGGAGGCCGGAGTCCACATTTAAAGTGGTACTCAACTTTTTTTTTTTTTATCTTACCTACTTTGCTTATAACAAAGCTTACGTTTAGGTGAAATGAATATCTCCTAAACGTGCGCCATTTAGGCTCCATGCACACGGGGTGTTTTAATAGCACTGATAACGTTAACTGTGTAAAGTCACGTTAAAAACTTGATTTTTTCAGAGTTCTTTAGCGTTTTTTATTAGCGTTTAGTGGAGTTTTGCTGCGTTGTTTTGCTGTTTTTGCATTTTTGTTTTTTAGTGTTTTTAAAATAGTTTTTAAAAAAAGTCCAAAAATGCCAGATTGCTGTGATTTACCATGTTTTACTGCATTTTGCCACGTTTTTTGACGTTTTTGACGCGTTTATGATGTTTTGCATTTTTTTTCTTCTTGCTAGGCAGATTTAAAATGCGAAACGCATCCAAAGCATGGCAAAATGCAGCAAAATCGCAATGAATGCTTTTATGCAGCTTTTCCATTGAAGTCTATAGAACCAAAACACACCGGGTGAAAACACAGAGATGTGAACCTGTCTCATAGGAAATCAAGTTACATGGACCGCACAGTGTTTCTGCAAAACGCTGCAGAAAACACTTGAGAACCTGGGGTTAGGGTAAGTTTTACATAATGTGCTAAAAAAAAATCCAAAACACCAGATTGCCGTGATTTACCGTGTTTTTACCGTATTTTGCTGCGTTTTTCAGCGTTAGAACGTTTTTTACAGCTAAAAAACTCCTCTAGAAGCCCACTAGTCCTGGGTTTTTTTCCAGCCAATAAACATCTCTGCCAAAAAACATTGATTCCAGTCTATGTGTGTATGGACACATAGGATAACATGCTGGGGGGTTTACTGGCTGTAGAAAAAAACTTCAAAAGCCAAAAACAGCCGCTGTAAAAACGTCCCGTGTGTATGAGGACTTTGGAGATAACCCTCTCTTTTCTAAAGGCAGCGCATGCGTGGGAGTGACATCATCGTGGCCCTGCCCATCAGACGCCCGGAGCTCATGAACCTGGAAGGAAGACCGGGTGAAGATTGAAGCTTCTTCAGGGGTGACAGCGCGCCGCTGGAGGACTTCGTTTTTGGGCTAGGTTCACACCTATGCAGGTTGCGTTTGAGCTGTTTTCGCATTGCATTTTGCACATGCATTTTTGACACGTTTTTGATGCGTTTTTTGATGTTTTATTTTTTTTTTCTTCTTGCTAGGCAGATTTAACCTCCTTAGCGGTATTCCCGAGTGTAGCTCGGGGTAAAATTTCAGTACCAAAAGCGGTAACCCCGAGCTACACTCGGGCTTATCATGCCGCGTTGCTCAGGGATTCCCTGCAGCGCTTAACTTGTCCTTCGCTCCCGCGATGTGTCCCCTGCAGCGTCCGCGACCATCTCCTCCGGCCGATGCCGGCATCCGGCTCCCGTGTTCCGGTCCCTGTGACGTCGGGATGTACGGGCGCCGAAACCGGCGTCAAATTGAAATTTTTTTAAAAATGTCATTTTTTAAAAAATGATTATTACATAGTAAAACATTGCTGTTTCAAACCATTTCACATACATTTTGTCCCGAGTGCTTTGTCCGGCGCCCTGCCTGCATTTTGACTGTTCTTTCTGCCTGGAAACGTCCATGGCGTCCAGAAAGCGTCCCTTTAGGTCAGACGCGGTTTTAGACCGGCTAGAGAACAGCGATAGTAAATCAGAACCACTTGCAGAATTGAGTGATAATGATTGGTGGGGGAAATTCCTCATCAGACACTGAAAACGATTCTGCGACTTTGCTCAGTGATGTGTGAACTTGGCGCTCTATTTCACATTTCAGTGTTTTTGGTTTGATTATATTATTGAATTAAATTTATTATTATTATATTATTATTTTTTTATGATTATTAACCGTTTCAATACCGTGCAATTTTACCCCCTTCCCCCCCAGGCCATTTTTCAGGTTTCAGCGCTCTCACACTTTGAATGACAATTGCGCAGTCATACAACATTGTACCCAAACTAAAATTTTATCATTTTCTTCAGACAACTAGAGCTTTCTTTTGGTGGTATTTAATCACCACTGGGGTTTTTATTTTTTGCTAAATTAACAAAAAAAGACCAAAAATTTTTGAAAAAAAAACACATTTTTCTTTGTTTCTGTTATAAAAGTTTACAAATAAATAATTGTTCTTCATAAATTTAGGCCGAGATGTATTCTGCTACATGTCTTTGGTGAAAATAACCCAAATTAGGATGTATTATTTAGTTTGTAGGAAATTTATAGAGTTCACAAACTATGGTATAGATCTGAATATTGATCAATCTTGAAGTACTGACGGCGAATCTAATTTCTTGAGGTCCAAGAATGTCAGAACAGTACAGATATCCCCAAATGACCCCTTTTTGCAGAGTAGACAGTCCGACGTACTTCATAAGAGGCATGGCGAGTTTTTTGAAGTTGTATTTTTTTGTCATAATTTTTCGGAAAATTAAAAAATTAAAAAAATTATTTTCACTATTTTTTTTTTACATACTGTCACCAGTGCAGTACAGCGTCATCATATAACTGGCATGGCGGGAAACAGGGACACTGACTGGTGACAGTATGAAAAAAAAATATATATATATATATTTTTTATTTTATTTTTTTGTTATATATAATTTTTTTTATTAATTTTTTTTTATTTTTTTTAAGATTTTTTTTTCATATTTTACTATGACCAAAGTAGTACAATGTTACCATAGTAACATTGTACTACTTTGGGGAAGTGATCAGTATTTTTTTTTTTTTTTTACACAATTTGCTTATAGCAAAGAATTACTTTGCTATAAGCAAGCATTTACCTGAATGAAATCGATTCATTCAGCTTTTTTTTTTTTTTTTTTTTTTTGTGCTTAGCTGTGATTTGGTCACAGCTAATCACATGACATGTGCATGTGATTAGCTGTGACCATTCACAGCTAGGCACTAGTATACAATGGATGGCATCATGAATGAAGCCATCCATTGTATACAACTGTCATGTGACCTGCTGTGATTGGTCACAGCAGGTCACATGGTACCAGCAACGGGAGCCGGTACTCGGATCTGTCATCGGCCATGTCCGAGGTGCACGGCCGGTGACAGATCGCACTGCTGCGCCGCTCTGCATTAGCGCAAATGGCGTGCACCCGGAGTGCAGAGGCACATTTGAAGCCGCCAAATGGCCATTGGCCAGGCGGCTAATGGTTAATTCAATTATAATTTATGATTTCATGTTTCAAATTTTATCCTCCCCGGGATGTTTACTAGACTCTTGTTCGGACAGATTTCAGTGAGTTATTCCTAAAAATTACAGGCCCACAATACAAAAATACATATTTCCATGCAAAAAAATGGTACCGCTTTCAGCACCAAAAATCGGAAATAATCATACCACTAGGGAGGTTAAAACGCAAAACGCATCAAAAACAGGGCAAAAACACAGCAAAATGCATGCTTTTCTGCAGCGCTTCCATTGAAGTCTATAGAACCAAAACCGAAACTTTTTGCATTCAAAAAAGTCCCTGATCCTTTCCAAAAAATGCAGCGGGTGAAAACGCAGAGATGTGAACATGTCCCATAGGAAATTATGTTACATGGACTGTACTGCGTTTCTGAAAAACGCAAAACGCTCTGCAAAACGCTCTGCAAAACGCTGCAGAAAACGCTTGTGAACCTGGGGTTACGGTAAGTTTTACATAATGTGCTATTAGGCGATGCATACAAGCACATTATGACATTACCTTGCAGAGGACTTTTTTTTTTTGGCGGTTTACTAACACTTTTAAGCCCAGGTTCACATATGTGCGGTATATCGCATGTGATTTGCACAGGAACCGCACCGCATTCCTGTGCGAATCACATGCGATTTGTGTGCGGTGCGATTGGAGGCGTGCATTTTGTATGGCTGTAATCGCACTGCACCCGAAACATGCAGGACCCTTTTTTTGGTCCGCACTAGAATTGAATCACACGGGTATTCACACCTATGAGATCCGATTCTGCGCATCGCACCGCATTTTGAGGACCGATTTCGGAGTGTTGTGAACTTAACATACACACCTGCAGCGGTTGGCGTGAACGGGGTGAGATTCTGATGCGGTGTGGAATTCGCACTGAAAACGCTGTGAATTCCGCACCGCATCAGAGTGAACCCGGGCTCAAGGTGAAGCTCCGTCAATAATAACACAATGTGATAATCCTCGCATTAGCTGATTCTGGAGATTAGTACATGAAAGGCGCTCCAGCCTTGTTCTCTGACCTCTCGGTGTGAAAGTTCTCATGTTATCTTCTTATGTTTTCTATAGATGGGTTGTGTCTCCTTATTGTCTGGATATTCCTCCTAGAAAGTGATGACGTTTCCTGAGATGCGATGGACACATTTCATGCCTTCCCTGTTTAAGTCCCGTACACACCATGAGAATATCCGACAAAAGCAGGGGCGGACTGACAACTCATGGGGCCCCCGGGCAATAGGGGATCATGGGGCCCCTGTGTCCTTGCCCAAACTCAAAAAAGACTATGAAAAAAGGTACCAGGGGCATCTCATGGGGCTCCCTAATGACCCCGGGCCCTCGGGCAGTGCCCGAGTTTCCAAATGGTCAGTCCACCCCTGGACAAATGATCAATTTTTTGTCTTTTTTTTTGCATGCCAGTCTCCTTATCAAAAATGAAGAGGTTACAAACATTTTTATGACAGAATAAAAATTCAGAAGTGATGTCATGTATTTGTACTGTATTTTCAGACGAAAAACTGTGCTGAGTAAACGAAAATTGTACGATTTGGTTTCGTAGGAGGAAAATATTCGTACTTGTCCCTTCGAATGATTTCGGATGGAAGCTGTGTATAAGGATCACACGATTGCTTTGAAAGCGAAATTTTTCATGCGATTTTCTGATCGTGTGTATTAGGCTTTATATGTGGGTGGAGGAAAGCTCTGCCGTGGTGACCACAGATTATTATTATTATTATTATTATTATTATTATTATTATACAGGATTTATATATTATTATTATTATTATTATACAGGATTTTATATATTATTATTATTATACAGGATTTATATTATTATTATACAGGATTATTTATATTTATATATTATTATTATTATTATTATTATACAGGATTTATATATTATTATTATTATTATACAGGATTTATATATTATTATTATACAGGATTTATATATTATTATTATACAGGATTTATATATTATTATTATTATACAGGATTTATATATATATTATTATTATTATTATTATACAGGATTTATATATTATTATTATACAGGATTTATATTATTATTATACAGGATTTATATATTATTATTATTATTATTATTATTATTATACAGGATTTATATATTATTATTATACAGGATTTATATATTATTATTATTATACAGGATTTATATATTATTATTATACAGGATTTATATATTATTATTATACAGGATTTATGGCGCCAACAGTTTGCTCAGCGCTTTACAATATAAAGGGAGACAATACAGCAACAATACAGTTCAATACAAGAGGGATAGGAGGGCCCTGATCCTGGGAGCTTACAATCTAGGAGGGAGGGGTTAATGGTACAAAAGGTAGTAACTGTGGGGGATGGAGTGGTTGGAAGAGTAGAAGATTCCAGTATTAGCAGAGGGTGGGATAGGCTTCCCTGAAGAGAGAGGTTTTCAGAGATCGCCTAAAAGTGAGCAGAGTAGGCGATAGTCTGATAGATTGGGGTAGGGAGTTCCAGAGGATGGGGGATGCCCTAAAGAAGTCCTGGAAACAAGCATGGGAGGAGGAGATAAGGGAGCTAGAGAGTAGGAGGTCTTGCGAGGAGCGGAGGAGAGGACGGTTTGGGTGATATTTGGAGACAAGATCAGTGATGTAATTTGGGACAGTGTTGTGGACGGCTTTATATGTCATTGTTAGTGTTTTGAATTTTATCCGTTGGGCAATTGGAAGCCAGTGGAAGGATTGGCAGAGAGGGGGTGGAGGACAGTGAATGGAGGTCAGTGGAGGGATTGGCAGAGGGATGGAGGACACTGAGTGGAGGTCAGTGGAGGGATTGGCAGAGAGGGATGGAGGACACTGAGTGGAGGTCAGTGGAGGGATTGGCAGAGAGGGGTGGAGGACACTGAGTGGAGGCCAGTGGAGGGATTGGCAGAGAGGGATGGAGGACACTGAGTGGAGGTCAGTGGAGGGATTGGCAGAGAGGGGTGGAGGACACTGAGTGGAGGTCAGTGGAGGGATTGGCAGAGAGGGGTGGAGGACACTGAGTGGAGGCCAGTGGAGGGATTGGCAGAGAGGGATGGAGGACACTGAATGGAGGTCAGTGGAGGGATTGGCAGAGAGGGGTGGCAGATACAGAACGGTTAGTAAGGTGGATGAGTCTGGCAGCAGCATTCATGATAGACTGAAGAGGGGATAGCCTGCGATGAGGTCGGCCAATGAGGAGGGAGTTACAATAGTCTAGGCGAGATATAACAAGGGAGTAAATAAGTTGCTTACTGGTGTCCGAGGTTAGGAACGGTCGTATCTTGGAGATGTTGTGGAGGTGAAGTCTACATGATTCTACAGATCCCCCAGTAACAGTGCTGTCAGCATTGGGGTACCTGGACTGTATTATAGGACACTTTATGCAAACTATTATGGACTGTATGGGCTCTAAGGGCAGTATTGGTTGTTTGAGATGTTATGAGTTGTATGGGCTTTATCAACTGTATGGACTGTATGAATTGTATGGGATTTATCAAATATGGGTTGTATGGACTGTATGGGCTGTATGGAATACATGGGCTGTATGGACTACATGGGCTGTATGGACTGTATGGGCTGTATGGACTGCATGGGTTGTATGGACTGTATGGGTTGTATGGGCTGTATGGACTGTATGGGTTGTATGGGCTGTATGGACTGTATGGGTTGTATAGGCTGTGTGGATGGTATGAGTTGTATGGGCTTTATCAACTGTATGGGTTGTATGGGCTATATGAGCTGTATGGCTTGTATGGGCTGTATGAGTTGTATGGGCTGTATGGACTGCATGGGTTGTATGGACTGTATGGGCTGTATGGAATGTAAAGACTGTATGGGTTGTATGGGCTGTGTGGATGGCATGAGTTGTATGGGCTGCATGGGTTGTATGTGTTGTATGTGCTGTATGGACTGTATAGGTTGTATGGGGCTGAATGTTTTGTGTATGGGCTGCATGGGTTGTATCAAATATATGGGGTGTATGGGTTATATTGACTGCTTGGGCTGTATAGGCTGTATAGGTTTTCTGGGCTCTATAGGTTGTGTGGGCTGTATGGACTATGTGGGCTGTAAAGGCCTTATGGGTTGTATTGACACTTTGGGCTATATGGGCTCTGTATGGTAAGTATGGGTTGCATTGACTGTTTGGGCTGCATGGGCTATATGGGTTGCTTGGACTGTATGGGTTGTGTAGGCTGTATTGGTTGCATGGGCTGTATGAATTGTATGAACTGTATGGACTGTATGGGTTGTGTAGGCTGTATTGGTTGTATGGGATGTATGGATTGTATGAACTGTATGGACTGTATGGGTTGTGTAGGCTGTATTGGTTGTATGAATTGTATGAACTGTATGGACTGTATGGGTTGTGTAGGCTGTATTGGTTGTATGAATTGTATGAACTGTATGGACTGTATGGGTTGTGTAGGCTGTATTGGTTGTATGGGATGTATGAATTGTATGAACTGTATGGACTGTATGGGTTGTGTAGGCTGTATTGGTTGTATGGGATGTATGGATTGTATGAACTGTATGGACTGTATGGGTTGTGTAGGCTGTATTGGTTGTATGGGATGTATGGATTGTATGAACTGTATGGACTGTATGGGTTGTGTAAACTGTATGGCTCAACTTTCTAATGACTGATGAAAGGAAGAGAAGAATGATGTAGGACATTGGTGGGCATATTCAATTATTACACCAAAATGTTTTTTTTCTAATTTGGCATCAGTAAACTGAATTCTAATTGGTTGATATAATGCACACACATTTGTAAGGGTTTTTATGGTGGGTGAGCTCAGTGCTGGGACAAGGTCATCCAGTGAACAGGGCAAAGATGCCAAACTGTGCCCTGCCTTCCCATTCATGATATCCAATGGGATCTGCTTAGGGGGTGTGCAACCCGCACCTCTTCCTGGTTCTCTCTTCACTGCTACCAGCACTGGGCTGACAAGAGTAGTTATGCTGCTGTCACTACTTCTGTCAGCCGTGTAACAGAAAGAACTCAGCACAGGGTGCCCCCATCCCTGCAATAAACAATTGTGACCAGGGCAGTCGCCTCTTCAGCCCCCCCCCCTCTTGTAATGGCCCCGGGTAAGGTTACTGTGTATCTGTCTCTCCTCTCCAAATGTTCTCTTATGATTTTATCACTCCAACCCATATAAATGGGTTTCACATTATACAGTAGAACCAACAGGAGTGACTTGGTGTCAGGATGGTGGTTGCACCAACATAGACCCTCCAACTACATTATAGGGGATAGCCTAGGAAAGGCAAGAGACATACTGTGGCTGAGACGTATACTGTAGGCCAACAGCAGACTTCCGGAAGGACAAAGCACTCCTGGAACATGTAGAGCCGGATCTTTAGAGTAGGAACCATTGGAATCATGGGAGCGAGGAACTGGATCAGGACTTACCAACCAAGTAAGAGGATGATGAGGTGGGATCCCCCAAGGAGCAGTATCTAAAATCTAGCCAGTATCCACTAGTGACCCCCTCACGGGAATGTTGGGCTTTGTTGCCTGCTGACGTCAGGTAATGACCCCTTGAGTTTACCCTACTCAACACCACAGACCAGGAGCCAGAAAGTGTACAGAAAAATACATGTACGTGTCCTAGACCGGAGCAGGCACAATGACATACATGTACGTGTCCTAGACCGGAGCAGGCACAATGAGATACATGGACATGTCCTAGACCGGAGCAGGAACAATGAGATACATGTACGTGTCCTAGACCGGAGCAGGAACAATGAGATACATGTACGTGTCTTAGACCGGAGCAGGCACAATGAGATACACGTACGTGTCCTAGACCGGAGCAGGCACAATGAGATACATGTACGTGTCCTAGACCGGAGCAGGCACAATGAGATACATGTACGTGTTGTAGACCGGAGCAGACACAATAAGATACATGTACGTGTCCTAGACCGGAGCAGACACAATGAGATACACGTACGTGTCCTAGACCGGAGCAGGCACAATGAGATACACGTACGTGTCCTAGACCGGAGCAGGCACAATGAGATACATGTACGTGTCCTAGACCAGAGCAGACACAATGAGATACATGTAGGTGTCCTAGACCGGAGCAGGCACAATGAGATACACGTACGTGTCCTAGACCGGAGCAGGCACAATGAGATACACGTACGTGTCCTAGACCGGAGCAGGCACAATGAGATACATGTACGTGTCCTAGACCGGAGCAGACACAATGAGATACATGTAGGTGTCCTAAACCGGAGCAGACACAATGAGATACATGTACGTGTCCTAGACCGGAGCAGGCAAAATGAGATACATGTACGTGTCCTAGACCGGAGCAGACACAATGAGATACATGTATGTGTCCTAGACCGGAGCAGACACAATGAGATACATGTAGGTGTCCTAGACCGGAGCAGGCACAATGAGATACATGTACGTATCCTAGACCGGAGCAGGCACAATGAGATACACGGACGTGTCCTAGACCGGAGCAGGCACAATGGAGATACATGTACGTGTCCTAGACCGGAGCAGGCACAATGAGATACATGTACGTGTCCTAGACCGGAGCAGGCACAATGAGATACATGTATGTGTCCTAGACCGGAGCAGGCACAATGAGATACATGTACGTGTCCTAGACCGGAGCAGGCACAATGAGATACATGTACGTGTCCTAGACCGGAGCAGGCACAATGAGATACATGTACATGATTGTGAGTGTAGCTACTTCCTGTCCTGGGCGGTCGACAAGTGGTTAATGTTACACCCTAAGTTTTTTTGGCTTGATTTTTGAAAGCCCACCAAAAGGTCTTCATGCTGCATCTTAGGTGCACCTTCATAAAGTGCACCAAAAATTCAGGCCATAATAGAAGTCTATCAGAAACCACGGGTAACCTGCATGAAAACTGCGGGTACAGAGAGAGATCTGTGAGGGTTTTTCATGGTGGGGGTTTTGTATAAACAGGTGTACCTCAGTTTACGAACACCTCAGTTAATGGAATTTTTGGTTTACGAATGAAAATCCATTGAAAAGAACGCCTCGGTTTATGAATTTTTTAAACATTTTTGTCACAATATGAAGTGTATGTCGGTGCCGATTTTTAAATGCAATTGTGGCCTTTTTTTTTCTTCACTATAGCTCACAGAATGAGCTGTCACTTTCCCCGGAGCTAAACGAAACTTTGTTTTTTTTATCTTGGGAAACAAATTAAAAGGAAACATTGTTTCTTTTAACTCTGAGAAACAAACTAAAAGGAAACATTGTTTCTTTTAACCCGGGGAAATAAACTAGAAAGGAAACTTTCTTTCTTTTAACTCTGGGGAAAGTGACAGCTGATTCTCTGAGCTATAGTGGGAGAAAAAAAAAACTGGTAATTACATTTAAAAACCGGCACTGACCTATAGTGACAGCAACTTTTCTTTTACTTTTTTCTGACCTCCAGAACGGATTAATTGGTTTTCAATGCATTCTTATGGGAAACCGCATTTCGGTTTACGAAATGTTCCGGAGAACGCATTAACTTCGTAAACCAAGGTACACCTGTAATGAGATATAAATAAATCTGTTTGCAGAGTAAAATGTAACATCTCCTTCTTGTATTTCTGTTTGCCCCGTGTGTATTTATATGAATCTGTATGAGTGATGTGTGTGGTGTCATTGGATCTCTCTGGCGGTGTGACGTCCTAATTTAGTATCCAAGATTACAGAACGAAGGGCTTATTAAAGTTCAGCGGTCACATGACCTGCAATGAATAAGTTCAGTCCTCGGGCAGGGAGGTGCCATAACGCCACATCAAAGAGGACCTGTCACATAAAGTCTGGCCATAACAGAATACAGTGATATCAGAATTGCCATCACCTCCGTCCTTCCGCATACCCACATGTGAGATTTTTCTGGGGGACATATTTATAAAAACTGGAAGAAAAGAAATACATTTTATCTTCAGAGCAACTTAGAGCATGTAATGCAGCCATTCTCCACTGGGATTCAATGAAATCTCAGGGCTCCTCCTCAGATTGCTAGAGGTTCCTTGAGCAAAGAGCAATTTCTGCCTCTCAGATACGTTACCACTGAAACCATTGATCTTTTTTAGATATCTGTAATTAGGGCATTCATCCCAATGACCACCAATGTAAGAAGTATTCTTCCCACTGACCACCATGTAAGGAGCATTCTTCCCACTGACCACCAATGTAAGGGGTATTCTTCCCACTGACCACCAATGTAAGGGACGTTCTTCCCACTGACCTCCAATGTAAGGAGCATTCTTCCCACTGACCAACAACGTAAGGAGCATTCTTCCCACTGACCACCAATGTAAGGGCATTCTTCCCACTGACCTCCAATGTAAGGAGCATTCTTCCCACTGATCACCAATGTAAGGGGCATTCTTCCCACTGACCACCAATGTAAGGAGCATTCTTCCCACTGATCATCAATGTAAGGAGCATTCTTCCCACTGACCACCAATGTAAGGAGCATTCTTCCCACTGACCACCAATGTAGGGAGCATTCTTCCCACTGATCACCAATGTAAGGATCATTCTTCCCACTGACCCCCAATGTAAGGGACATTCTTCCCACTGACCACCAATGTAGGGAGCATTCTTCCCACTGATCACCAATGTAAGGATCATTCTTCCCACTGACCCCCAATGTAAGGAGCATTCTTCCCACTGATCATCAATGTAAGGAGCATTCTTCCCACTGACCACCAATGTAAGGAGCATTCTTCCCACTAACCACCAATGTAGGGAGCATTCTTCCCACTGATCACCAATGTAAGGATCATTCTTCCCACTGACCACCAATGTAAGGAGCATTCTTTCCCATTGACCACCAATAAGAGGTGCGTTCCTTGAGCAAAGAGCAATTTCTGCCTCTTAGATACGTTACCACTGAAACCATTGATCTTTTTTAGATATCTGTAATTGGGGCATTCATCCCAATGACCACAAATGTAAGAAGCATTCTTCCCACTGACCACCAATGTAAGGGGCATTCTTCTCACAGACCACCAATGTAATGAGCATTCTTCCAACTAACCACCAATGTAAGGAGCATTCTTCCCACTGATCACCAATGTAAGGAGAATTCTTCCCACTGATCACCAATGTAATGAGCATTCTTGCAACTAACCACCAATGTAAGGAGAATTCTTCCAACTAACCACCAATGTAAGGAGCATTCTTCCCACTGACCACCGATGTAAGGAGCAGTCTTCCAACTAACCACCAATGTAAGGAGAATTCTTCCCATTGAACACTAATGTAAGGGGCATTCTTCCTATTGACCATCAATGTAAGAAGAATTCTTCCCATTGACCACCAATGTAAGGAGAATTCTTCCCATTGACCACCAATGTAAGGAGAATTCTTCCCAATGAACACTAATGTAAGGGACATTCTTCCTATTGACCACCAATGTAAGGGACATTCTTCCCACTGATCACCAATGTAAGGGACATTCTTCCCACTGACCACCAATGTAAGGGACATTCTTCCCATTGACCACCAATGTAAGGGACATTCTTCCCATTGACCACCAATGTAAGGGACATTCTTCCCACTGATCACCAATGTAAGGAGCATTCTTCCCACTGACCACCAATGTAAGGGACATTCTTCCCACTGACCACCAATGTAAGGGGCATTCTTCCCACTGATCACCAATGTAAGGGACATTCTTCCCACTGATCACCAATGTAAGGGACATTCTTCTCACTGACCACCAATGTAAGGGACATTCTTCCCACTGACCACCAATGTAAGGGGCATTCTTCCCACTGACCTCCAATGTAAGGGACATTCTTCCCACTGACCACCAATGTAAGGGGCATTCTTCCCACTGACCACCAATGTAAGGAGCATTCTTCCTACTGACCACCAATGTAAGGGGCATTCTTCCCACTGACCACCAATGTAAGGAGCATTCTTCCCACTGATCACCAATGTAAGGGACATTCTTCCCACTGACCTCCAATGTAAGGGACATTCTTCTCACTGACCATCAATAAAAGGTGCATTCTTTCCAATAGCTAGCACAGTTACATACAGTACCATGAGCTATAGATATATTAATTACTGTCAGGGGTATTCCATGAGACCTGAAAGTTATTTCAAGGGTTCCTCCATGTTAAAAAGGTTAAGAAAGGCTGATGTAAAGCATAGGATTTGGCACCATCATTAGTTCAGATTTACTAACCAAAGCCATAGTTAAAAAAAAAAGCATAAAGGTAAAATACATAAGAAACTTAATTTCTTTCCCTCTGTATACAGCAGTGCAAGAGCGGACAGGTGTGCACTGCTCCCTATACCTTCTATACATTCATTCTATGTGACAATGGGAAATCTGCAGTCCAGGAATTTTCCATTCACTGCTCAGTAATTTTCCTAACATACCATCTATATCAAGTTTACAATTTATCTCCGACCATAAAGGAGCTGCTGCCATTGCACTTTGCTTTATGCTCATTGTTATTGATGGCAGGCTATATAGACTGTGAGTGCCAACATGATAGCCGTGCTCTGCCATAAACTCACTGCCTGCATCATAGAAATGCAGTCATCTCACGGTAGGAATTCTCAGATCTTGTGTTGTAAATGGCAACTGTCACTTACTTACGATAACATGACTACTAAAATAAAACAGAAACATACACAGTGTCATTTATAAAAGCAAGAATACTGTGCACTTAGAGACCTCACTATAGCCAAATACTATATAGCAATGGTCAACTTGAAAATTATGGGGGGCCTGAAATGCAGCCCCCAGCACTTCCACAGGGCTGCTTAATGGCAGTGCATTTTTGCACTTCAACATCCAAAAAATTCAATGTCTAAAAAAGTTGGGGTACAATCAGGGGCGGACTGACAACTCATGGGGCCCCCGGGCAATAGGGGATCATGGGGCCCCTGTGTCCTTGCCCAAACTCAAAAAAGCCTATGAAAAAGGTACCAGGGGCATCTCATGGGGACCCCACTGACCCTAGGCCCTCGGGCAGTGCCCGAGTTTCCAAATGATCAGTCCGCCCCTGGGTACAATAACCTCAGCATTGGTGCAAGTGAGAACCATTCCAAAATTTGTGATACCAAATTAAAAAGGAAAATAATATTAATATAGTGCAACACTGCACTATATTAGTATCACAATAATATTCCTCAACATTGTTGTCAATGAGTGGAATAATAACCCCGAACATTGTTGTCAGTGAGTGGAATAATAACCCCCAATAATTCACTGTACATGCCTCTTTTTCCAAAATGTCCCCATAATGTTGGTCTTCTCATTTCCATACGATGATAGTTACACAGTGTAAAAATCCAGAGATTGTCATTCCAGTACCGATCCACTATACATCCCACTTTCTCCAAAATGTCCCAGGGATGAAGGGGTCTTCTCATATTCATAGATTGTTAGTTATATATTTATATATCCAGAGATGGTCCCTCAGCTATAGACCTAAAGATTTTATCCACCATCCTTCTTCCTTGAAATGTTGTGCCAAAATGGGTCTTGCCAAGTACATTGGATGATAGCTATAAATCCAAAGGTTGTTCCTTTGGTGCAGATATACCATACATCCCTTCTTTAAAGTGCCCCCATAATGTGGGTCTTCTCATTTCCATGTGATGATAGTTTTATAGTGTATAAATCCAGATTATCACTCCAGTACCGATCCACCCTACATCCCAAAATGTTCCAGTGATGAGAGTCTTCTCAAGTCCATAGGATGCTAGTTATATAATATATAAATGCAGAGATGGTCCCTCAGATATGAATCTAAAGATCTATCATCCATCCTTCTTCCCTGAAATGTTGTGCCGATATGGGTCTTCCCATGTTCATAGGATGATAGCTATAAATCCAGAGGCTGCTCCTTAGGTAAATATCTACCTTATGTCCTCTCTTCTCCTCAGTGAGTGGAATAATAACCCCCAAGATTGGTGTCAGTGAGTGGAATAATAACCCCCAACATTGGTGTCAGTGAGTGGAATAATAACCCTCAACATTGGTGTCAGTGAGTGGAATAATAACCCCCAACATTGGAGTCAGTGAGTGGAATAATACTGGTGTCAGTACTATTAGCCACCTATCTCTACCTGAGGGACATTCTCTAGATTTATACATTGTATAACTATCATCCTATGGATATGAGAAGACCCGCATCACAGTTAGACCTGTTAGACCTGTACTGGATTGGCAATCTCTGAATTCATTGTATGGAAATGAGAAGACCCACATCATGGGGACATATTGGAGAAGAAGGGACGTAAGGTAGATATTTACCTAAGGAAAAGCCTCTGGATTTATAGCTATCATCCTATGGACATGGGAAGACCCATATCGGCACAACATTTCAGGGAAGAAGGATGGATGATAGATCTTTAGATTCATATCTGAGGGACCATCTCTGCATTTATATATTATATAACTAGCATCCTATGGACTTGAGAAGACTCTCATCACTGGTACATTTTGGAAAATGTGGGATGTAGGGTGGATCGATACTGGAGTGATAATCTGGATTTATACACTATGAAACTATCATCACATGGAACTGAGAAGACCCACATTATGGGGACACTTTAAAGAAGGGATGTATGGTATATCTGCACCAAAGGAACAACCTTTGGATTTATAGCTATCATCCAATGTACTTGGCAAGACCCATTTTGGCACAACATTTCAAGGAAGAAGGATGGTGGATAAATCTTTAGGTCTATAGCTGAGGGACCATCTCTGGATGTATATATATATAACTAACAATCTATGAATATGAGAAGACCTTCATCCCTGGGACATTTTAGAGAAAGTGGGATGTATAGTGGATTGGTACTGGAATGACAATCTCTGGATTTATACACTGTGTAACTATCATCGTATGGAAATGAGAAGACCAACATTATGGGGACATTTTGGAAAAAGAGGCATGTACAGTGAATCTGTACCTGAGGCAGAATCTCTGGATTTATACTGTACATTGTAGAACTATCACCCCATGGATTTAGGAAGAATCACATCATGGGGACATTTCAGAGAAGGGATATATGGTAGATCTGTGGATCTGTACATGAGGGGCAAGCTCTGGATTAATATTGTATAAATATCATCATGTGGTATGAGAAGACCCACATCATAGGGACATTTTGGAGAAAGGGGATGAATGAAGAATGTGTAGATCTGTACTTGAGGGACAATCTCTGGATTTATATATTGTATAACTATCATTCTATGGATACGAGAAGATCCACATCACGGGGATATTTTGGAGAAGAAGGGATGTATGGAAAATCTGTACTTGAGGGACAATCTCTGGATTTCCACATTGTATAACTATCATCATAGGGATGAGAAGGAGGGTGAACTCAGGTGACTGAACTGTAATAATAAAGCTACAAGAAGTGGCTTGTCCTACAGATAGTAAATTCAGTATAGAATGAAAACACTTATTTCAAAACGTCTTGGCTGTGAGGTGAGGAGGTGAAGCATATAAATCCAAACTCAGAAGGTATCAGATCAGAATCCAGTCAGGTAGATATTGCGTGATTCTAAAACAACTGTGAACTGATTACAGCAATCAGTGAGGGTGGCTCACTGACTGCGACCACACAAATACAAATTCCCAATGTCTGTTTGCTCCAGGGACCTTTGTCACCAGGACTGAGAGTGACAGGAAATATCAAATTTTTAAGTTGTCAACAAAAAAGGCCAGAGGGGAGCTCTTCCTATGATGACACCTGTTCAAGAGAAGATTTTTTTTAACGTCCAGTTGTGTCTTCAGAGCAAAAAGAGAAAGGGCTCACCAAGCCGAGATACAGACACAGGCCCCTTTAACCAATTTTCTCACAACTCCTTGGGTTCCTTGACATGTCCAGGGAAAATGAGTTCCTCACTACCTCAGCATCTCAGAGAGGCCACATCTGATGAGGTAGAGGAATCTGAGCAAGTGATCTGCAACCAGGTGAGTGGCTCTCCACTGTCTGAACAGCTAGGCCAAAACCAAATAGCAACACAGATTTTCTGGAAGACCCAACTGATGTGGGAAGCCCCTCCCCTTATTGCTATCAGAGTACTCATCTTCAGTGAGGTGGTGTTTTGCCCTTGAATCCCTTCAGCTGTTCATCTGTGTTACAAGAGCTATCCTGGATTGTGTAACGGCATTTGGCAAATATACATTGAAATGAAATGATTGTATATATAACCTGGTAGCCTGTACTGTATATGACTGCAGTGACAGCATTAGTATTCTATAGCCATAAAAGAATAGCCTTCAAGTTGAAGTCAGGGAATGGGGGGGGGCTCTTAAAGTTTTTGCTACTAAGCCTCATCAAACATGGTTCCAGCCAGGGGCAGACTGACCATTTGGAAACTCGGGGACTGCCCGAGGGCCTGGGGTCAGTAGGGGGCCCTATGAGATGCCCCTGGTACCTTTTTCATAGGCTTTTTTGAGTTTGGGCAAGGACACAGGGGCCCCATGATCTCCTATTGCCCCGGGGCCCCATGAGTTGTCAGTCAGCCCCTGGTTGATAGGGATGTTGAAGTCTCCAAGGATGATGGTGGGCAGCTCGGAGGAGAGAAAGAAGGGTAGCCAGGCTGAGAAGTCGTCGAGGAAGCGGGGATATGGGTCCAGGGAGACCGATAGATTACTGCAATCCTCAGGGGGATTGGAGAGAATAGTAGGATGCAGTGGTCCTCAAAGGAGGAGAAGGATAGAGAGGGAGGGTTTAGGTAAGGTTAGGTAAGAGCTTGATCACAATATCCTAAACACTGCAAACGGAAAACAGTAATATCTTCATTAATGGTAAAAGGTCTTATGTGCTGTCACACAAACCAAATACAAACCTACACTACAAATGAAAGCATGAAAAAATCAGAAGGCAGCAAGCACCCGTAAGGTGTTCCACCACTAAAGGAATAAAAAAAAAAAAATAGTGCTGCGCTAACAAGATAATAATAATATCAAACTCAAAAAGTATAAAGTGTAATAAATAAATAACGTCCTCAAAAAAGAGCAAAGAAAAACAGGAATAAATACAGTGACAGTGTATATTACATTATAATAACTGGTGTTAATGAGGTCCACATAAACAAAAAACAACCCCCTATCACGTGGTATATAACGTATTGGACCAATAACATAAAGTGGATAAAGTAAATATAGTGAAAATCATTAACATGAATAAAGTGCAACGTAACAGTCCATATAAAGTGAATAGCGGAAAACGGTGACTCTTCTCCTTAATCTCCCTAGCGGTCTGATTATGTCAGTATTTCTGTGCTCACAGCGGTAAATTTTTTGCATGGAAATATGTAATTTTTCTATTGTAGGCCTGTAATTCTTAGGAATAACTCACTGAAATCTGTCCGAACAAGAGTCTAGTAAACATCCCGGGTAGGATAAAATTTGAAACACAGTGCATACGGGAACACCCTGGACCTTGTTTTCTCTCATCTCTGCACCCCCCACAACCTCACAAACACCACTTTTCCCCTCTCTGACCACAACCTCATCACCTTCTCCGTCTCCTCCTCCTCTTACACCTATCCCTCCAAACGTCAAACCATCACCAGCCGTAACCTCCGCAACCTGAACCCTGCCCCCTTCCACTCTGCAGCTGACCAACTTTACGACAGTATCCTTCCCCTGTCCTGCCCTGACCTGGCCACTACTGTTTATAACAACTCGCTATCAGCCGCTCTTGACTCCTTAGCAACCCTAACCACACGAAACATTAGACCCCGACCACTTCAACCCTGGCAGAATGACCACACCAAAAATCTCAAACGACTCAGTCGTGCGCTGGAGCGACTGTGGCGCAAAACCAGATCCCAACAAGCGTTCACCCGATATAAATCCACCTTCCTAACCTACACTTCCTCCCTTCACGCTGCCAAGCAAGCCTACTTTGTAACCCTCATCAATACCCTCTCCTCCAGTCCTCACCGGCTCTTCTCCACGTTCAACTCCCTGCTCTCTCCGCCCAGTACCTTGCTCACCGCCCACAAGATTTCTAACCACTTCCAAAGCAAGATCAACGCAATTCGCAGGGACATCACCAGTGCTCAGGCTTCCGCCCCACCTAGCATCCCTCACACGAAAACTCCCCCAACACTCCTCTCCTTCGACCTCGCCACTGTCCAGACCTCCACCCCGCTCAACATTCCTCACACTAAAACCCCCTCAACACTCCACTCCTTCGACCCTGCTACCACTGAAGAGGTCACTAAGGTCTTCTCTGAAGCTCGCCTTACCACCTGCCCCCTTGACCCTGTCCCCACACAACTCCTACGATCACCCTCCACCTCCGCAACATCTCCAAAATACGCACGTTCCTAACTCCAGAAACTACAAAGCAACTCATTCACTCCCTTATTATATCACGACTTGACTACTGCAACTCCCTCCTCGCCAGCCTACCTCAACACAGGCTATCCCCGCTTCTGTCTATCCTGAATTCTGCGGCTATACTCATCCACCTCACCAACCACTCCGCTTCCGCCACCACCCTCTGCCAATCTCTCCACTGGCTTCCGATTGCCCAACGCATAGAAAATTATTCAAATTATTAGCACTGACATACAAAGCTGTTCATAACACTGCCCCAAACTACATCACCGACCTGATATCCATACACCACCCAAAACGTACTCTGCTCCTCACAAGACCTCCTACTCTCTAGTTCCCAGGTCTCCTCCTCCCATGCCCAACTCCAGGACTTCTCCAGGGCTTCCCCCATCCTCTGGAACTCCCTACCCCAATCCATCAGACTGTCACCTACCCTCCTCACCTTTAGGCACACCCTGAAAACCCATTTCTTCAGAGAAGCCTACCCCGCCCTCACCTAATTGCCCATCTCCTCCGCTCTTCCCACCACTCCATCCCCCACAGCTATTTCCTCCTGTACCACTATCCCCTCCCTCCTAGATTGTAAGCTCCAAGGAGCAGGGCCCTCGAACCCCTCATGTATTGTATTGTATTGTTACTGTACTGTCTCATGTATTGTCTCCCATTATAATATACAGCACTGAGCAAACTGTTGGCGCTATATAAATCCTGTATTATAATAATAATAATCAGTGTGGGATGTTTGTCCCAATGTGTAATATTTGTTTTTATTGTTCTTGTGGGGATTTCCCTATTTCTGAAGTGTATAAAAAACCTGTATTTCTGTTAAATAAACAGTTCCAGTTTGCATCTAAGCTAGTGTCATCTAGTCCTAGGTGCAATGGCCAGCTATAATTCCTTGGTCCTGAGTCCCAGCAGCAAGGAAGCAGTTCTCTGAGAGAGGTAACTCCATGTTTATGGTCATGGTTTTGGAATGGGATGCCTGCCAAGCAAGCCTATGTCGGTTTGATGGTCAGGGGTCCACAGATTTTTGGTTATATAGCGTATATGATTCTCTGCAGGTTGGATAGATCTTTGCACTTATATTCAGGATAACCGAAATTCTCACTTTGTTGACTCACCCAGTTTTCTATCAGTTCTTCCCCGCATACTAACACTATGATATATTAATATTTGTTTTTATTGTTCATGTGGGGATTTCCCTATTTCTGAAGTGTATAAATACCTGTATTTCTGTTCAAGAAACAGTTTCAGTGCACTGGTTAGTGTTGTCTATTCTTGGGTGCAATGGCCAGCTATAATTCCTTGGTCCTGTGTCCCAGCACCAAGGAAGCAGTTCTCTGAAAGAGGCAACGTCATGTTTATGGTCATGGTTTTGGAATGGGATGCCTGCCAAGCCTATGTCGGTTTGATGGTCAGGTGTCCACAGATTTTTGTCTATATGGTGTATATGATTCTCTGCAGGTTGGATAGATCTTTGCTCATATTTTCATGATAACCAAAATTCTCACTTTGTTGACTCACCCAGTTTTCTATCAGCTCTTCCCCGCATATTAACACTGAATTTGTCCTCCGTACTGCGTGAGAAGCTCACTAACGTCTCATTAACCCATATCCATTTTTTAGTCATTTCATGTTGGTAGGTGTTTTTTCTTCCCTAGAATTTTGCAATATTTATCTTAGCGGTTGTAAATCTATGTGAGATTCATCTAAAAGTGTTTGTAGGAATGTTTGGAATTTTTATATTTGTAAATGCACAGGAAGCATTTTTACTGAATCTTAACTTTGTTATTGATTGTATTCGGCTCCATACATTCTGCTGATTGTATTCTGTTGTCTGCTGATGTCAAGAGCCGTGTGAAAGTGGTGTCACCCTTACATCGACCATACATAATTCACTTTTTTTTTTCGTTCAACCAGATGTAATGGGGGAATCCTTCCCGCTGAGCTATTGGGTTTGATTTACTAAAGCTGGAGACTGCAAATTCTGGTGCAGCTCTACATAGGACCAATCAGCTTCCATTTTTTTTTTTGTCAAAGCTGAAGTAAGAAGCTGACTGGCTACCATGCACAGCTGCACCACATTTTGCACTCTCCAGTTTTAGTAAATCAACCACATTGCATGATCATAGTGGGGAGTCTTCACTGCCTTCAGAATACAATGTTCAGTGTTGCCAGCTATATGACATGAATACAATCAGCCTGCTCCAACATGAAACGAAGTACGGCCATACTGGACCAGCCAAAGTTCGATCCATGTATGGCCAGCTTTACACTGGTCATTCAATCAGCCAGATAACCAAACCAGGGAATCAGGGAAACTGTAGGTCACTGTAGCCAGGTTTCAGTGGTTACAAACATTTTTTCTGTGTTTGGAAGCTTTGCTTCTTACCTGTGACACAAAGAGAGTCAAATGAAATGCCTGTAATGCTAAGATTCAGTGACCATCTTGGGGAAGACCCTGGATAATGCTCGGCTATGGAGTGTCTTCAAACCTTGGGCCGGCCATTTTGGGTGAGCCAAAATGTACTCTGGACTGATTGCTATTGGCTGAAGGAAGACACAGAGGAAGGTGATATGGACTGTTGTACATCCTGGGAAAACAAGAGCTTACTGGAAAAAACTGAGACTCGTGGGAGATGTAGTTCCCAGACAGACCGAGCCTGTGTGTCAAATTGGCAATGGAATAACGTATCCCAGTATAACCGGGTCTCTGTGGAGAGGAAAAGGAAGGTCTGTATCAGAGCTTGAGGCAATGAGTATCCCTTCTTTAGGTGTTGAGGAGAGTATGGTTCTGCTTACAGAGTTGTGGGCCCTAGGAACAGGAGATGCAGGTAAACAGCATCAACTTCGAGGGTAAGTGTTACACTACCACCCACCTTACTATAGGAATACGAAGCTATTTATATAGTTGTAGCATTACCCCCCTTAGGAGTCGCTAGAAGATTTGGGTCCCCCTATAGTCCTGCACAGCCAGGCATCACACATCTTCACAAAAAGGTGCAACCAGAGTCAGAAATCAGTCCTTGAGCTTTGGTTTTGTTGTTATATCTAGGAGATTTGAACTGAGATAGGGTTAAGGATGTACAGGATGCCCAAGGGTACCAATTAGAGATGAGCGAATTATTCAAAAATTCGGTTCGGCTGATTCGCCGAATTCGCCGATTAAATTCGCTTCGTGCCGAATATATTCGCTGCGAATTTAACTTATAAATAGGGTGTTTCTAGGCTTCAGAGAGCCTTTATATTAGTGCAGAACACTGTACCTTTAATTTAAATGCCCTTGGAGTCTGCTGGGGAAGAGAAATAATACTGTCAGTCAGTATGACATGCAGATGAGTGCCGTCGATCTTAGAATCACCGCACACTTCACTCATTTGGGCAGTCACGGGGCCAAAACCAGAGTGTGGAGCCACAGTGTGGCGGTGGAGGCAGCAGCAATGGGAGGCCATACAGCACCCTATGACAAAATGGAACCCACCAGCAGTGTGAGGAGACCTGAAAGTGGCACATGGCAGAGTGTGGCGATGGAGACAGCAGCAATGGGAGGCCGTACAGGGACCCATGAGACACTCTGGACCTGTCAGCAGCATGAGGAGGCGGTACAGGGGCCCATGACAGAATATGGGCCTGGCAGCAGCATGAGGAGTCGGTACGGGGGCCCATGGCAGATTACGGGCCTGGCAGCAGCATGAGGTAGGCGGTACAGGGGCCCATGGCAGAGTGGCGGAGCGTAAGCAGCTAAAATTGAAGGCCATACAGAGGCCTATGTTAAAAAGTCCCCCCAGCAGCAGCGTGGGGAGACGACTATCAAGAGTCCAATGGCAGAGTGGCGGAGCAGAAGCAGCTTCAATTGAAGGCCATACACAGGCCTAGGTTAAAAAGCGGAAGCCGTCAGCAGCGTGAGCAGACGACAGAGACACATGGCGCAGGGTGGCGGTGGAGGCAGCAGCAATGGAAGGCCATACAGCACCCTATCACAAAATGGAACCCACCAACAGTGTAAGGAGACCTGAAAGTGGCACATGGCGCAGGGTGGCGGTGGAGGCAGCAGTATTCGGAAGCCATACACAGGCCTAGGTTTAAAACTGGAACCCAGCAGCGTGAGCAGACGACAAAGACGCACATGGCAGAGGATGGATCTGGCAGCAGTATGAGAAGGCGGTACAGGGGCCCGTGGCACAGTGTGGTGATGGGGGCTACAGCAACTGGATGCCAGAAAGTGGCCGATAGGGCTATATACTGCATGACTACATAGGTGGTTTTTATAGTACGTTATTTTGGCCTCCCTCTCAGCAGGTGTGAAAAAGGCCACCATTTTTGAACGGTAGCGAGGGTCCAACAAGGTGGACAGCCAAAAGTCATCCCTCTGTCTGATGGTTATTATTCGGCTGTCGCTACGCAAGCAACCGAGCATGCTATGGGCCATTTGTGCCAAGGAATGCGAGGGACTCCCTGCCTCCATCTCCACAGCATACTGCCACGGTGCGTCTGGGTCCTCTGTCTCCTCCTCCTCCTCTACCAGATGCTCCTGCTCCTCCACTCCTGTCCGCTGAGTGGAAAAACCACCCATTTCACTCAATAATTCCTGAGCACCAATGTCCTCCTCTACCTCCTCCTCTTCTTCCTGTCCTGCCCCCACAGGGGTCATGTGGCGTTGAGATCTGTGCGCCACGTCTACCGCACCCTGACCAGCCATTGTTAACAGCATTTGTTCCAGGACGTGCAACAGAGGAATGACGTCGTTCATCCCATAGTCCTGCCGACTCACGAATAGCGTGGCCTCCTCAAAGGGCCTGAGCAAGCGGCAGTGTCACGCATGAGCTGCCAATGGCTGACATCTAAGTTACACAGGGGAGTACCTTTATCCGCTTGTAACATCAGGAAATCGGTGATGGCCTTTCGCTGTTCGTAAAGGCGGTCTAACATATGTAGGGTTGAATTCCACCTTGTTGCAACGTCGCAGATCAGGCGATGCTGTGGAATTCCGTTCTGCCGCTGCAGCTCAAGGAGGGTGTTCTTTGCGGTGTAGGAATGGCTGAAATGCATGCAAAGTTTACGTGACATTTTAAGGATGTCTTGCAGTGGGATGGTGGATTTTAGGAACCGCTTGACAACCAGATTGAACACGTGAGCCATGCATGGCGCATGGCACAACCTTCCTTGACGCAGAGCAGACACCATGTTCTTTCCGTTGTCGGTCAACATGGTTCCGATTTTCAGTTTGCGCGGAGACAGCCATCTGTCGATTTCTCTGTTCATTACACTCAGAAGTTCCTCCCCTGTGTGACTACGTATGCCAAGGCATACCAGGTGCAGCACAGCGTGACACCGTTGCGCCCTGCACATGTGATATGCCGGTCGGGTAATGGGACTTGGCACGGGGGTGGCGGCTGAGGACACGGCAGAAGAAGAGGTGGTAGAGGCGGACATCTTTGCTGGACCAAGGACGTGCAAACGTGGAGGCAAAAGCGGCGTGACCTGTCCAAGTTGCTGGTGCGGCTGTGCCGGCACCACGTTCACCCAGTGGGCCGTAAATGACATGTACTGTCCCTGACCGTAGTTACAGCTCCACACGTCGGCGCTGCCGTGCACTTTGGCAGAGACCGACATGCTCAAAGACTGGCCCACCATCTCTTCTACATGTGAATGCAGGGCTGGCACTGCCTTTTTGGCGAAGAAATGCCGGCTTGGCACTCTCCACCGTGGCGCGGCACAAGCCATCATTTCTCGGAAAGGTGCTGAGTCCACCACTTGGAAAGGGAGGGACTGCAGCACCAGCAACTTGGACAGGAAGACGTTCAGCTTCTGCACCGTCGGGTGCGTGCTCACAAACTGTTGTCTCTTGGAAACGGATTCCAAGAAAGACTGCTGACGGAATCCGTGAAGAGGAGTAGCAGGAGAAGGAGCATCTGAACGAGCGGAAGATGCCAACGAGCGACAACTCCCCTCAGCAGAGGTGTTGGAGCCTTGACTGGCTGATAGAGGGTGATTGACGTCGGGTGACGGAGCAAGTAACGGAGCGGGTGATGGAGCGGGGGCTGGGGCAGGCAGAACCGCCGTATCTTTATCACGGTTTTCCCAGGCCACCGAATGGCGACGCTGCATATGCTGACGCAACGCTGTAGTCCCAACATTGGCCCCCTGGCCACGCTTGACTTTCTGGCCACATAGTCGACATACGGCTACGTTTACTTCCTCGGGCGGCGTGACGAAAAATTGCCACACCGCCGAGTAGGAAACTTTGCCCCCGCTACTACTCCTCACTGGCTGACTGCTACTTCCTCCGTGCACACCGGCACCACTACTGGCCGTGGTGGTAGGCTGCAGTGGAGCTGGTGCTCTACTCCGTGGCCGTTTGGCTCCACTGACACTGCTGCGACCCTGCTGCCTCCTGGGCAACCCACCGACTGTTTTGCTCGCTGGCAAGCTGGCACCCTCTTCTCCTGATGATGCGGAAGCAATAGCCTGATGACGACGAGGCTGCCAAGTGCGATCAGCCTCATCATCATCAATTAGGGTCTCCGCGTCACTACTAGCCCCCTCGGCTGCGTGTGGGTCAGGAGACAGACCTGTCTCTAGACTGGCTACCGAGCCACTCTCCTCACCAGTACTTCTTCGCCTGGCTGCTGAAGAGGCGGATGTCTCCCCCCGTTCCTGACCGCCCTCTGTTAGCTCTTCCTCACTGTACAGTGGGGCTGAGCCCACAGCATGCGATACTTTGCTTGGTGAGGGAACACCAAAGGACAGGGGCAGGTCGAGGACACGTGATTTCAGTGGGCTTGCTCCCGGGCCATGCCAACTAACGGTTGTGTCTGACGTACCCACCGACCGTTGGCTGTAGGTGTCAGAGGTGACCTGGGAAGAGGAAGACGACTGAGTAAACCAATCGATGACGGCAGGGTTGTCGGTGGAGACACGACCGCTGGATGACACCGGGAGCACTGGCCTCTGGCTGCGACTAGTGCTGCCTCGACCCCTTCCTCTGCTGCCACGTCTGCTCGCTCCTGAAACATTGCCTCCTCTGCCACTCCTCTGCGTGTTGTCTGACATACTCTTTAATTCAATAAGCACCCCAAAAATAAAACCGGATTTAACTCTTTGAACGTACAATAGTGGTTGTGAAGCAGAAAGTCAGTTTATTGTACACAATCGGTCAATTGCAGCTTGCCGTTGGCTGGAAACTGTACGTTTATGTCACTGGAATGCACTAATCACCCAAAAAATATTACCGCCACCCGGCGTGTATATGGATTTAACTCTTTGAACGTACAATAGTGGTTGTGAAGCAGAAAGTCAGTTTATTTTGCACAATCGGCAAACTGCAGCACCAACTGTGCACGACAGCCACCAAAAAAAAAAAGGGTGTATGTCACTTTAAATTTTCGATTCTTTGATAGCTGTGGCCCTGAGTAACGATTCTGTGTCCCTGAGTAACGATTCTGTGTCCCTGAGTAATGATTCTGTGTCCATGAGTAACAATTCTGTGTCCCTGAAAACAATTCTGTGTCCCTGAGTAACGATTCTGTGTCCCTGAGTAACGATTCTGTGTCCCTGAGTAACGATTCTGTGTCCCTGAGTAACGATTCTGTGTCCCTGAGTAACGATTCTGTGGCCCTAAAGTCTCTGTGGCCCTAACTCTGTCCCTTAATACAGACAGGTCTGTCTCTCTTGAATGACCGGAGGCTAATGGAGAATTCTAAGATGGCCGCGATTTATAGGTCCACCATTACACAGTGCTGGCTGGCTGCTGATTGGCTAATGCGATCACATGTCATGATTCATGACTCATGAATGCATTATGGGTCAGCGCGCCTTGTCTGCGCGCCTTCCCAGAGATCCCCGCCCCATCTTCTCTGTCCATTTTCTCCTGTCGCCACACATGTCGCCGCCATTTTTGGGAAAATTCGATTCGTGCATCCGAAGTTTGCTAATCTTCGGATTCGTCGCGAATCGAATTTTTTCAAATCTTCGGAACGAATTCCACTTCGTCATGTTCGATTCGCTCATCTCTAGTACCAATAACTGAGGACAACTTCCTGGAATTATTTACAAGCCTTCTCTGCAGCACAGTCTCTGTTGGAGAGCTAGCCAGCATTTCTTTAGTGTACCACCCCAGACCCTAGATGAACTTCTCTTTACCAAGCAATCTGGAGGTATCCCTGAACAGGGGATCCGTTTGTCACTTTAAGAGATGAACAGTCACTTGCAGGTGGCTAATCTGGTTTCCCACCAGAGTGTTCCTTCCCCTATCCGCCCAGGGGGTGTAGGTGTACTCACCCAGATTCCCTCCTGTACCGCTTGTGGGTTGGTGGCTGCTACCAGGCTTATCAGCTGGGCCATTTCTTCCATACAGGTGTTCCTCTCTCAGGGGGCCCTGAGCTCTGAGATTTCCTCCTTTCCCGCTCCAGGCCTGCAGGTAGGCCCCAACCCAGCAGGCCTCCTTGCAGCCTCCTTCCTTCAGCCTTACATTTTCCTCTCTATCTTCCACCCGAACTCTCTCTCTACTCTACTCCAACTGAGCAGGCTCCAACACTTTTAGGGGTGTCCAGCCCCTTGCCAACCTCTTGTTGGGGATTGGCTAGGATCCCTAAAAAGTGCAACCAGCTACTTCTCAGATCCACTCACTGCCTCTAGAGCCTTCTTCCAAAAGCCCTAGAGCAGGAAGAAATTCCAGAGGGGCTGGTCGGCAGAGCCTCTCAGCCCTGACCATAATTTGACCCCTCTCTGGCTATTACACCTGGGCTGCTGCTCAGCTCCTGTCTAACCATTGGGGTCTAGCTCCTCCTAGCTAAACTAGGGTGCTACATAGTGCATTTCAGTAACAATGTCCAGTTGTGTAGTCTGTGCTGCTTACAACGCTTACTCTGCTGCTT